CTACCTACAATTGAGTGTGGCTGAACCCATTAGATGTATTTCTGAAAAGACTAAGAAAAATGACATGAAAATAAAACGACTTGAAATCAGGAAAAAAAAGAATAGAAAAAAAATTGTTAAATTGTATCTATAGGCTTAATCCTCTACTAGGGACTTTCACACTGTTTATCAAACTTTCACAGCCTACCAAAATTACTGCCACTTGTTCACAGGAGGAAACAAGGTCTTTCAGTAAGCACAAGACTCTGGGTCACATAAACAAGCCATACGACTAAGAAAATGTCGGCCCGCCTTTCAAAGCCGTATGTTCAGTCTCTAAGCTACTTAAAGGAATCTATTTGTTTGGTAAAAGGATATAATCTTTTTTCCCAAATAAATATTAAAAGCATCTCTTGCATAAATTAAACTTTTTCTTCATTGTGTTCTAGTCTCAAGATAAAGGCTAATATCTATGAATTAGGAAAAAAAAAGTCATGAGTTAATAGGCTTAAGATTTGTTGGGATGTACTAATGCATCATTAACCTTGGGATTGCAGAAAGGCAAATTTACATATAGTATAACATATAGTATTTATAATTTTTACAACAACAGAATTTATTAAATATGAATTCACTTTCAAGATTTTGTTCCTGGGATGGAGAGCAGTTAAGGGTACATACTGCTCTTGCAAAGGACCCTGTTGGAAGGTTCACAACTGACTGCATCTCAGGCTCCAGGGTACCCAGGTATCCAAGGCCCTCTTCTGGACCCTGTGGGTACTGCAATGACACATGCACATACCCACGTACAGATACACACACAATGTACATAAACAAGAAAAACTTTGATTTTTTTCTTTTTTTTTTTTTAAGATTTTTATTCCTCTTAAACAAGCAATGTGATATATGTTAGCACTTGGGAAACAGAAGCAGGAGGATCCCAAGTTCAAAGCTAACCTAGGCTCCATAGCAAGGCCTTGTCTCAAAGGAAAAAAAATATTTTTCTCTTCTAAACATTTAGTTGTGGTGGCTTGGACTGGCTCTGGAAAATGACATTTTTAACTATTCAACTATTTAACCAATGCTAAAAGAGCCTTAGAGATGCCAGGTACAGTTTTTGTGGTCCAGTGAGATGGCTAAGTGGGTATAGGAACTTCCTGCCAAGCCTGATGACCTGAGTTTGATCCCTGGGTTCAATCCTCGAGTGGACATGATGGAAGGAAAGAACCCACTCCCAAAAGTTGTCCTCAGACTTCCACACAAACACTGTGGCATGTGCTCCTCACCCAAGTAAGTAAATAAATAAGTAAATGTGGGGCTGGAGAGATGGCTCAGCAGTTATGTTCTCACAAAGGACCAAGGTTCAGTTCCCAGCACCCACATGGTGGTAAATAACCATTCCTAACTCCAGTAACGGGGAATCAGACGTCCTCTTCTCTGTGGGCAATGCACGACACAGAAGCACTTACACCTATATGGGCAATACATCCATACACATGTAATAAAAATATTAAATATAGGCTGGGTATGGTCGCGCACACCTTTAATCCCAGCACTCAGGAGGCAGAAGCAGGCAGATCTCTGTGAGTTCAAGGCCAGCCTGGTCTACACAGTGAGCTCCAGGCCAGCTGGGGCTACAGGGAGACCCTGTCTCAAAAAAGAAAAAAAGAATTCAAATAAATATAAACATTACAAAAAATGAATAAATAAATGTAACAAAAATATTTCTGAAGAAATTCTTTTTGAGCTAGGCCTGGTGGTGCAGGCCTATAATTCCAGCTACCGGGAAGATTCCAAGTTCAACCAAGTCTTATTTGGGTTGCAACTTAAGCGAGACCATCTAAAAAAAGTTACCTTTTTTTCCTCATAATCCTTTAAATAAATTTGGAAATCTATTATGTAAACCCATAAAAACAGAACTATGCTGACTGATGGATACTAGTCTATCAATTTACAGATGGAGAAACCCATCTGGTTTGTGTGGACTGTCCCCTCCCTGATGAAACTGTATCACTTTATTGCAGAGACTCTTGCATGTGTCTGTCTCCCTCACTACACTGCTTAGGGCTGGATACGGTGCACTTGGCACAGCATTCAGGCCCAAGGATAGGCAGACACTCTGTTCCCAGCCTGAAGTCAAAAGGAAACCTCAGGTCAACGTAGTCTATCATCAAAGATGTTTCTAAAACAAGACTAGTACCAGTACCAAACCCCTCACCCCAATCTCTATATGCTGTTTGCTGGTCTCTCTGCGGGAAGAAAGAAGCTTCAGGCATCCCATAAGCATCGTTGAACACTTGATGGCTGAACTTCTTTTTCAGAACTCGATACTAGTGTGGTTAGGAAGGACAAAGCCCGACGGTCCACATGCCCGGGATGGAACACGGAGCAAGGACCACAGGGAGGGAAGGGCACGCGGCCTTTGTTAACCTCCTCCCGCGCCCCAGCGTCCAGGCTCCGCATCGGTACCGAAACACGTCGGCAACCTGCGGCCGCTCCCCTCCGCCCCGGCCCCGCACGCACTCCCGGAGCCCCGGGCCCATTACCAGCGCCGTTGGGGACGTCGCTGAAGTCCGCGGCGAGCCAGCCGACCAGCCCTGCCGCCCAGAGGAGCAGCCGGGCCACGGCCCTGGCGGCCAGGACGCCGGAGCACCGACGCCCGAGAGGGGCGCGCGGGGACGAGCTGCGAACGGGGAAGGAGGCTGCGCGCCCCCAGCGCGCACTCCCAACCACGCTAAGACTGGGCCCAAGCGCGCCTCCGGCCCACGGCTCCGGGGATACGGACCCCCACCAACTGCTTGCTGGGCTGCTCCAGGCCAGCGCCGGGTTCCGCCCCTCGCCGTTCCAGGCCCCGCCCTTCGCCGTCGGGGGCGTGGCAAGAGGCTGCGCACGCGTACTCTGCAGCCCCGGCCTGTCGCCTTGGGAATGGTCCGGGCAAGACCGTCCCGTGTTCAGGCCCGCCTCATCTCCGCTGCCCGGTGCTTGTGAGCTTGACCCCCCTGCCGCGGAGTTCACCCCATGGTTACACCGGTAAGCTATGGCTGTCTCGTCTTCCTGCAGCTCCAAGTTCCACCCGGCCTCGAAGTGGATATAAGGGCTCCTCTGTGCAGTGCCTTTGGGTGGAAATAACCCTCTCCCTACCGTTCAGATGTTCGCCTGCAGTGGAAGATGCCTTTCCTATACATCTTTAAGGGTAAGAAAGTCAGCGTCGCACTGGTGAGGACATGAATGAGGAAAAGCTGGTCTGTGCGTTGGGAATTCCGTACCCATCGATCCCAGGGGGATAGAAGTATTCATGCCCAAGAACGGTTAAGTGAACGTGCTGGCCCTCCACTCGGACGCTGAGGGATGAGGAAGCAGACCTAGAGATCACTTGGCCCGGTGGTGACTTGCACAACACAAGGCTATGATGGGCTGATGTCTTAAGGAGGGAACAATATAAGCATGCTATCAAGAATTGTAGAGACAAATTTTGAGGGACAAATGCCTCAAAGAATTGAAATTATGGAAAGAGTGGGGTGGGACTTCGTGGTGGTTTGGTAGGGTTTTTTTTTTGCTGTTGTATCCCTTATGAAATTATTTTACATTCCCAAGAAACACTACTTGAATAAAAATAAAAGTTAAATTTTTTAAAAGAAAAATGTGTGGGGCTAGAAAGGTGGCTCAGAGGTTAAGAGCACTGGCTCTTCCAGACAACCAGGGTTTGATTCTCAGCAACCACATGGCAGCTAACAACTATAACTCCAGTTCCAGGGGATCTAATGCCCTCTTCCTGGACTGTGAGAGCAGCAGGCATACACATGATATGCACACATACATGCAAAACACTCAAAACAGGTAAAATAAAAATAAATCTTTCCTAAAAGAGAAAGAAAAATGTCTATAGTCAAAAACCCCACATTACTTAATATGTAGTCCGTATGTCATTCCCAAGTATGGCCATTTACTTGAGTTTTTAGACTTTATATTGTGCCCAGTAGTAAATCCTAGAAACTTTAATAACATCAAATTTAGTGAAGTGGGAATAGTATTCGGTATTTGCTTCAGATCACAGACAAAGCATAGCAATTTGAAAAAGCAGTTCTTTATTATGATTAACTTCATAAGAGTAAAATTTCCTAGGGCTGGAGCGATGGCTCAGCAGTTAAGAGCAGTGGCTGCTCTTGCAGAGGACCCAGGTTCGATTCCCAGCACCCACATAGTGGCTAAGAACCATCCTAACTCCAGTTCCAGGGGAATCCGACACCCTCTTCTGACCTCCGAGGGCATTGCACAACACGGGTGCACTTATAGACATTCAGACAATACACTCATACACACAAAATAAAATAATAAAACTTTTTTTTTTTTGTCTTTTTGAGACAGGGTCTCCCTGTAGCCCAAGCTGTCCTGGAACTCACTATGTAGACCAGGCTGGCCTTGAACTCACAGAGATCCACATGCCTCTTGAGTGCTGGGATTAAAGGTATGCACCGCCACACCCAGCTATAAAACCATTATTTAAAAGAAAGTAAAATTTCCAACAACCAACAATAGAGTTAAGAATATGATCCTTAGCTGGGTATGGTGGCGCACACCTTTAATCCCAGCACTCAGGAGGCAGAGGCAGGCGGATCTCTGTGAGTTCAAGGCCAGCCTGGTCTACATAGCAAGTTCCAGGCCAGCTGGGGCTACAGGGAGATCCTGTCTCAAAAATAAAAGAAAAAAAGACCAAAAAAAAAAAGTATATGATCCTGCCCTTGTTAACTTTTATTTGACACAACCTAGGGTCAGTTGAGGAATTTCGAAGATCAGATTGGCCTGTGGTCATGTCTATAAGAGATTGTTTTGATTGGTGATTGATGTGGGAAGGCCCAGCTCACTCTAGGTGGCACCATCCCTAGGCAGATGGGTCTAGGCTATATAGGAAAGCTAACTGAGTGAGCACAGCAGGTAAGCCAATAAGTAGCATTCCTCCATGGTTTTTACCCTGAATTCCTGCCCTGAATTCCCGCAACAGTGAACCATAACCTGGAATTGTGAGCTGAAATAATCCCTTTCCTCCCCAAGTTGCTTTTTAAAAAAGGTCAGTGTTTTGTTATAGCAGTAGAAAGCTAACTAAAACAGAAATTGGTACCAGAAATGTTGGGTTGTTGATATGATGGATTTGACCATGTTGGTTTGGGGGAGAACTGTAGAAGTGTTTGGAACTTTGGGCTAGATGAGTATTGAGGGCTCAGAACTTGGTGGGCCATTCTGTGGGGGCCTGAAAGATAAAAATGCTGAGAAAAATAGACAGTAGAGACTTGACCAAGCTTCAGGTAGAAGCAAAGACTCTAGAAGCTGTTTGTGTGATATTTTGGATTAAGAATCTGTAGTGGCTGGTCCCCTTGGAGCTGAAGAATGAGCTGTGCTAAAAGATTAGCATCTTGAGGTGAAATCATCTAAGAAGTATTTCCTTAGGGTTAGCACATAGAAGCTGTGGTCAAGGTGGGCCAAGGCTGCATCTCAAGCTGGTAGCTGAACTTGGCAATGTCTAAGAGTCTCCCACATGGTACTGGCTTTGAAGACATGAAAGATGCAAGATTGTGGGGGTCATGGAGAGTAACTGAGGCCTGGCACCATGTGACAGGATCAGAGTCCCTGAAGAGAGGCCCAAAAAGGCCATTGGTGAAGGTGCAGCCTCAGTTGCAGTGGAAACCCCAGTGTATTGGAGATGCCAGTACTATGGAATATCTGCCAAGGACAGTGGCAGGTATGGAGTAGAGCCAGCCTGAGCCTGTGAGACAAGCTGTGTTGTAGATAGCAGAGCTGGAGAAGTGGGACTTCCCGAGCCCTTCAGAGCCCAGAAGATCATGAGTGAGTCTCAGATATCAGACAGACATTGAGCTGCACTGCTAGACTTTGTCTTTTCTTTCTTTTTTTTTTAAATTTTATTTTATGTGTATGCACGTATTGCCTGCATGTAGGTACGTGCACCCATGTAGTGCAATGAATGCCTGTGGACATCAGAAGAGGCTGTTGGATCCCCTGGGACTGGAGTTACAGACAGTTGTTAGCTGCCATGTAGGTGCTGGGATTCGAACCCAGGTCTTCTGCAAGAACAACCAGTGTTCTTAGCCACTGAGCCGTCTCTCCAGCCTGGCTTTTCTTTTTTTAAAAAAAAAAATTATTATTTTTATTTTATGTGTGTGCGTGTATTGCCTGCATATAGGTAAGTGCATTCATGTCATGCAATGCCTGTGGAGGACAGAAGAGACTCTCAGATCCCCTAGAACTGGAGTTACAGACAGTTGTTAGCTGCCATGTGGGTGCTGGGATTTGAACCTGGGTCTTCTGCAAGAACAGTCAGTATTCTTATCTGCTGAGCCATCTCTCTAGCTCCGATTTTGGTTTTTTTTAAGTGTGATTGTTTTTATGCCCTGTTCTTCCCTTTGGGATTAAGAAAGTATGTAACTTGGAGCTGGAGAGATGGCTCAGCTGTTAAGAGCACTGAGCAGAGGACCTGGGTTCAATCCCCAGCACCCACATGGTGGCTACAAACTGTCCTTAATTCCAGTTCCAGGGGAATCTGAAGCCCTCTTCTGACCTCCGTGGCATTGCACGACATGGGTGCACTCACATACATGCAGGCAGTATGCTCATACACATGCCATGCACTGCTAGCAGAGGACAGAAGAGAGCGTCAGATCCCCTGGAACTGGAGTTGTGGACAGTTGTTAAAAGCCATGTAGGTGCTGGGATTTGAATCTGGGTCCTCTGCAAGAGAAGCCAGTGCTCTTAACTACTGAGCTATCTCTCCAGCCCCAACATTTGCATTTTAAGCCACATAATCATATACATGATATAAAAATATATAGTAGCTTAATATGCATAAGAATGGAAGTGGTAAATGTGAATATTTCATATTTTCTTCCTCTCTCCTTTGTCCCAGTTTCCTACAATAAAAATGTATAATTACTGTCAGATATTTTAAAAAAGATTTATTTTAAGTGCCTGCTTGTATGGGCACCACATATATGCATGGTGCCCTCAGAGGCCAGAAGAGGGGTCAGATCACATGGAACAGAAGTTACAGACAGGTTTAAGCCACCAGGTGGGTGCTGGGAACTGAACCCTGGTATCTGCAAGAGCAGCAAACTGAGCTGTCACTCTAGTCCCTAATTCCTGTCAATTTTAAAAACTATGTGCCTGTAGTTATTCTCCAACAAAACTAAGTTTATGAAGATGTCTCTTTAAAAATATTTTATTGTTTTTATTTTATGTATATGCATGTATTGCCTGGATGTAGGTAAGTGCACCCGTGTCGTGCAGTGTCCAAGGAGGACAGAAGAGACTGCTGAATCCCGTGGAACTGGAGTTAGACAGTTCTTAGCTTCCAGTGTGGGTGCTGGGATTTGAACCAGGGTCTTCTGCAAAAACAGCCACTGTTCTTAACCACCGAGCCATCTCTCCAGCCCCAGATGTCATCTTATGTTACTTTATCTCAGACTTTTCAACATTTGTAAACAACTGCATCTAAACAGTTCCTATGATTGAATGTACTTTAGCACTTAGGAAGGGGGAGAGAGAACAGAAAGTATTTATCTGAAAATACCTTTGTTTTTGTTTGTTTTTGTTTTATATCTTTGTTCTTGTAACTGAAAAAAATACCATGAAATAAAAGCCATGTGAACATTACTGTTTTGTATATAGAGAGGCTGACTCTCCATTTTGCCTGATATTTTTTTGGGTGGGGGCGGGCATGAGGAGTAGGGAAACAAAGTCTCACTCTTTAGCCCAGGCTGGTTTGGAATTCAGAACACGTCAAGGTTGACCTTGAACTCACAGCAATCCTACTGTCTCCTACTGTTGGATCCCCTGGAACTGGGGGTAAGGACAGTTGTTAGCCACCATGTGCGTGCTAGGAACCAAATATGGGTCCTCTATAAGAGCAGCCAATGCTTTTAACTGCTGAGCCATCTCTAGCCCTATACATACTTTTGTAACTGAAAAATTGGATAGATTCTGTGGGTCAGTTCTTGGGCTTATTCAAGGTTCATGTTTAATCTTAGCTAAGAATGCAGTCCAGACTGAATTGCATCAGGCTCATATGTGAGTAGCCTGCATTCCTAACAAACCAGAGACTTCGAGATCCAACAAGGTGGGTTAGTCAGGGACAAACTAAATTTTCAGGGTAGCCCTCCAGGTTTGGAACTTCACCAACCAAACCTCCATTCTCGAACTAGACTGCACCCAGATTTGGGGAGAAGGGGTAAAGAAAAACAGATTTATTCAATACCTAGTTAGGTTTTTTTTTTTTTTTCCCTCTCTTCAGCAGGAAATTGTTATGCAACTGTCATATCATCAGATTTCCTCTGATTTGCCCTGAAGTATGTGTGAAAATGATGTGCATTGCTAAGAAATGTGGCATTAGATTCCAGCCTCCAGCCGTCATCTTAATTTATGAGAATGAAATCAAGGGAAAGAGTCGCCAGCGCATCATGCCAGTACGAAACTTTTCAAAGGTTTCAGGTACCTTTTGTTTTATCTGACCTCCTATCTTAAATATTCTCCAAAGTGCTTAATTAGAATAACCTCACATCATTGGGTACGGAGGCATACACCTATATTCCAAGCTTAAGGCTCATGGACATCCTCCTGCTTTAGCCTCTCAGGTGCTGGGATTACAAGCAATTACAAACATGCACCACCATACCCAGGCTGGTTTTTGTTGTTGTTTTTGAGACAGAGTCTAGTTATGTAGCCCAAGCTGGCCTCAAACTCTCCGCTTTCTCACCTATCCTTTCCAAGTGCTAGAATTACAGGCATGTATGACTATACCCTGCAAAGCTCAGTTTGTTGTAAAAGGACAGTTCTACAAAATAATTCATTTTAGTAATCCCTTAGGTACTTGGAAACAGTGGAGACAGTAACCCTGGGGCTCTGAGGGTTTTGTTCCTTTTCAGTCCTTGCAGTAGTTTGTGATGTGCATGATATGTGTGAAATAATAGCTTTTTTCTCCCTTCTAGACTGCACTAGAGCTGCTGAACAATTAAAAAATAATCCAAGACACAAGAGTTACCTGAAACAGGTGTCCCTGAAGCAGCTAGAAAAGTTGTTTGTTTTTTTACAAGGTTATTTGCGGGGACAGAGCTTGGCAGAAACAATGGAACAAATTCGACAGGAAACAACCATTGATCCTGAGGAAGACCTGAACAAACTAGATGACAAGGAGCTTGCCAAAAGGAAGAGCATCATGGATGAACTTTTTGAGAAAAATCAGATGAAGAAGGATGATCCAAATTTTGTTTATGACATTGAGGTTGAGTTCCCACAGAATGAACAACTGCTGTCCTGTGGCTGGGACACGGAGTCAGCTGATGAGTTCTGATACCCAGCTCCATGTTTCTACCAAGAACATAAATTGGTTCTAGAAAAATATGTAAGCACTAAATAAATGTATATATGTTGGGTCATAAAACCAAGACATTTATATTTATTATGTAGGCCTATAAGAAATATAGAAAAAACAATACAGGAATCTGCCTTAAAAGGACAACTCACAGACTTGTTGAAAAGTAGTTCACTGTTTGAAGCAACAAAAGGATGCTGAGAGCCAGACACTTTATCAAGGCTGAAGGTCAGATCCTAGAGTACTGCAGGGTAAAAGGGAAGGAAGTCTCCTTCAGTGGAAAGGTAGGCCTTTGCTTGGCTTACAGAATGCTAGTGGTTTGTGTAGGAATCCAGATGAAGCAAAGCAGAAAGGGCATGGTAGAGACAAGAAGTGGAAATTTTATTTGAGGAAGAGTGAAAAAATTATAGTTTGACAAGATTCATGTTATCATGTGCATATTATGCCTTTCATGTGTTTAACTGGAATAGGGGGATCCTGCAAAGTGCCCTGAAGCTGCAAGAAGATATCACCTGATGGGCAACAGGCGAGTTTTTCCCCCCAGACTCTGAAATTCAGAACCTCTTCCCATAAATGAGAGGCTTGTTTATAAAATCAAAATCCACCCACAATATATGAACAATAGGTTCTGTCAGTTTAGACCTGTACTGGAATTTGGGCATACAAAAAAGAGGACTTTGTCTAACAAGGTCATCTGTGTGCAGATACACTTGTTCTTACTAGAATATTATCTGAGTGGTAGAAATCTTTCGTTTTCTACAAGGAAATTATTATTTATTAAATAAAACTGTAAATTATTATTAGGTCTCGTGTTTTTTCCTTCATCTTTCCTTTTTGGTTTTTTTCCTACTAGAGTTTGTGGGCAAGGGTGTTGATCGTGTCTTTTCTTTTAGGTTAGCATACAAAGTAATGAGCTTCATCTGGCACTTCTGCACCTATGTCAGTATACTCTGTTCTTATTTGTCCCTCACTCTTCCCTACCCTGTGAAACTTAAAAGTTTGACTAATGCTGGACACAGTGGTGCACGCCTTTAATCCCAGCACTCAGGAGGCAGAGGCAGATGGATCTCTGTGTGAACCCAGCCTGGTTTACATAGTGAGTTCCCAGGTCAGTTGGGGCTACAGGAAGACCCCATCTCAAAAAAAAAAAAAAAAAAAAAGAAAAAAAAAAAAAAAAATTTAAATTTTTTTATTTTCTATTAAAACTTAACTTTGTTATTTACTTTTTTTTGCTAGAGCCTAGATAATTGTGCATTTACATGTTAACTTGAAGATTTCTGTCAAAGATAACCATGAAGATTATTAGATTATGGGGTTTTTTCCTAGAGGCTACTTTTATATCTAGCTTGGTAATCTTATTTTAACATTTGTTAATTCCTGTTAAATATTTGGTTCTTCAAAATTCTCTGAACCAACTTTGCTTCTTACTTGTCCCCTTCATTAATGAGTTTAGTACATCTTTTTTTTTTTTTTTTTTTTTTTTTTTTTTTTTTGGTCTTTTTGAGACAGGGTCTCCCTGTAGCCCCAGCTGTCCTGGAACTCACTGTGTAGACCAGGCTGGCCTTGAACTCAGAGATCCGCCTGCCTCTGCCTCCCAAGTTGCTGGGATTAAAGGCAGGCCCCACCACCCCTGGCAACACATTATATTTTAATCTAAAGAAAAATAGGATGTTTAATTGCTGCTATAATGAAAAATGGAAGACAAAAAAAAAAAAAACACCATCAGAGGGCAGTATTCATTCTTTAATTTATCAAGAGATACCTTTAGCTTGGCACCAGAAGGATGCAAGCAATATTTTCTCAGAACTTAATGTGTTCTGAGACACACACACACACACACAATTTTTTTTTTTGATACACCTGCCTCTGCCTCCCGAGTGCTGGGATTAAAGGCCTGTGCCACCACACCTGGTTCCCCTACACACACACAAATTTTTTTAAATTGAAAGGTCTCAGCAAGTATGGAGTAAGTAGAGAGGACTCCAGGACCTTTTGTCAACTGCAGAGCTAGAGTACCTGCTGCATTCTGGCCTTAGTGGTAAGAAATGGAGAAAGAGACCAAGTGACTAGGTGACACCTGACCCTTCACTATAGGGGAAAACAACATGAACAATAATATAAAATGATTCCTTCGTGCTACAGTATGTGGCAGAGATCATCAGCTCCTAATCATGGCTCCCTGAGAAATCTTGCTACAAATAAGATTTTGAGGAGCTGGAAAGATGGCTCAGCAGTTAAGAGCACTGACTGCTCTTGCAAAGGACCCGGGTTCAATTTCCAGCACCCACATGGTGGCTATGAACTGTCCTTCACTCCAGTTCCAGCCCAGATCTCACTGTTCTCCTTTGTGCTCCTAGCCCAAAGGGAGGTCAGTAGACAGATGGTGCTGCAGGTCAGCTGCTGAGGACTGATGACATTGTCTCAGGCCACACAAAGTAGGGTGATGACCAGGAAAGCAGTGGCCAGAACTGAACGGTGGGCAAGGCAGCTTCAACACACAGAACCAGCAGTCTCCCCTTTCCTGAGCCTGAGTTTCAAGAACACTGTGGATGTCTGTTTGGAAGGGATTATTAGGTTGAGAGGCAGCCCCCCTCATCTTAGTCTGCAAATAGCACTGACATGTGACTACTCTATTGTAAGTTTTCCATTTAGTTTGCTTCTAGTGATTAAATCTAAATCATTTGAAAAACGAAAAGAAAAGTCCAAGCCAGGCGTGGTGGTATATACTGTAATTTCATTACTTGAAGGTAGAGGCAAGAGGAGCAGGAGTTCAAGGCCAATTATCAGTGATGTGGTGAATTCGAGGCCAGCCTTTAATCCCAGCAGGAGTCAGAGGCAGGCCTGGTCTCCATAGTGAATCCAGGACAGCTGGGGCTACAGGGAGACCGTCTCAAAAAGACCACTCTTTAATCCCAGCACTCAGGAGGCAGAGGCAGGCGGATCTCTGTGAGATCAAGGCCTGGTCTACATAATGAGTTCCAGGCCAGCTGGGGCTACAGGGAGACCCTGTCTCAAAAAGACCAAAAAAAAAAATTAACCCTCCAAAAAGCTGCCCAGATAACAACTTTGAAGAGAAGCTTGTTTGGGAAGCACTGCCATAAACAGTGCCGAGGAGTTCTAAGCAGGAAGGAAAGCATGCCAGCCTCACAGAGACCCCCCAACTAGCAGGCCCTCTCGCCTTTCAAGCTCCCTTCAATCCCTGGAGGGGCTGGCTGAGGACAGAAGTACAGGTGTTTGGAAGGAAACTTGGTCCCTGGGTTTCTCTCCCTGTCGCATAGAGACACAAGGTTTATCTATTTGAAGTGGAGATGGATGAAGATGGCAGGACAGAAGGATGCAGGAAGGGAATATGTGCCACTAGTCTTATATGAAAAAAAAAAATGACCTCTAGAAATTACCAGGCCTTAGAAACTCAAGAACTAATAGCCAAAAGTTTGTTATTAGTAATATAATCAGTAGAAACAATCTGAGCTGGAGAGATGGCTCAGCAGTTAAGAGCACTTGCTGTTCTTGCAGAGGACCCAGGTTTGGTTCCCAGCACCCACATTAGCTAACAACTACCTGAAACTCTAGTTCCAGAGGACCTAATGCCCTCTTCTGACCTCTGCAGGCACTGCATGACATAGGTGTACTTATATGCAGGCAAAACACTCATACACATAAAATTAAAAAAAAAAAAAACTATCTTGTTTCGCCTTATAGCAACCCAGTGAAAACAGCTACTGTGACTCCACTTTACACATGCAAGAGGGCTAGGTAGATGGCTCAGTAGGCAAAGGCGCTTGCTGCCAAGGCTGAAGACCTGAGCTTGATCTCCAAATCCACATGGTGGAATGAGTGAATTGATTCCTGCAAGTTGCCCTCTGACTTCTGCTGGTGCACCATGGCCACTGGGAACCCCATTCCCCAACAATAAATATTCATTAAAAATAAAACTAAAACTGGGGCTGAAGAGATGGCTCGATGGTTAAGACTGCTCTTGCAGAGGACCCAGATTCAGTTCTCAGCACCCACATGGCAGCTCACAACCATCTGTAGATCCAGTTCCAGGGAATTTGATGCCCTCTTCTGACCTCTGCGGGCACCAGGCATACATGTGGTGCACATACATACAAGCAGGCAAAATGCTCATACATGTAAAATAAGAAAAAAATAATATTGTGCATGTATATTACACATAAAGGAACTGAGGGGGAGAGACCAAAAATGACAATATTCTTTTCTTTAGGGGTTTTTTGGGCCATCAGTCTGAGGGATGATCAAGCATACAGGTGTTCCTATCCACACAGCCAGTGTTACAGAACGGGTCAGGCTCAGCAGTAGATGAAGTCCTCCCATTTGGAAGCAGAACTAATGCCTGGTTCCTTCTCCCTAGGGTGACAGCCTTCTGAAGGAAATGAGGTCAGTCAGCACAGGAAAGAACCCCAAACTCCAAACAAAAAAGGACAAAGGTGGTTTTGAACATAAAGTTACTGAACATAAATTGCTATAAAAGGTGACTTGTTCATGTAAGTGTCCTGGCTATGAGATACTGTAATTTGCATACAGTGGTTTCTAGCAGGCTGATAAACTTTTTCTTCCTCAACCTCCTTTTCAGATTCTACAGTAGGGAATGATGATGAATGGGGGACTGACCTCACATCACCTCACTTTCTCTGCACAACATTTGTGATCATAAGATATTTTTATTGATTTATTTTCTCCCTGGTGAAATGTGAGCTGCCTTGCCATCTGTGTTCCTATTACTAGGGACAGACAGTGCTTGGCATATAGCCAGTGCTTGAAATATATTAGATGAATAAAGAATGGTTCTAAGTATAACTGATATCCTAGCATTCTGGAAAGAGCATCTAAAGGCAAAACGAAAGCTGAACAAGGCTCAGTGGATGTGAAGCGCGTGTGCGCGTGCCCTCAAAGGCCTGAGGTATGAGATGTCCTGGAGCTGGAATTACAAGTGTTTGTGAGCCACCAAACATGGGTTCTGGGAACCAAACTCAGGTTCCCTGGAAGAGCAGTACACACGCCGAACCACTCACTCATCTTTCCAGCACCCTTACACACATGCACATTTTATGAGGCTTTGGGGTACAAAAGTCACTATTTTCTCAAGCCATGAACTTTGAGCCTGTAGCTCAGGCCTAGTGCTTCTCAGACTTCAGGATGCATCTAGCTCACCTGCTACAACACAGATCACTGAGCCTGTCCCAAGGATTTTGACCACACACCCTGTGGTAAGGCTGAGAATTTGTATTTCCAACAGGGCCCCAGACCACACTTTGAGAAAAACTGTGCTAGACTTTTTTTCCCCTTCATTTTTGGAAACTCCCAATCCACAATTCCCTTTTGTTCCTATTAGCTCCACCATATTCCACAGTGACTCTCTACCTATAGATCAGTCATAGTACCCTAGTCCTTTGGGATCCAAGTATACTAATGGCCTTCCAATTTTAAACACTTCCACAACCACAACCCTCTGGATATTGTGGCTCAGGGGTCTACCTTCACACAGGCACTAGACACAAACGCATTCTTGCTAAAGAAATTCCACAGAGGGAAAGATTAATGTAGGCTGAAAGCAGCTGAGAAACTTTTTAAAAGTTGATTACATTCAAGTTCATCCTCAAAGGGGAATTTACCGGAACAGCTTCATGGGCAGGGGCCTGTCTACTGTCAGAACTGCTTAACCTATTAAATACAGCCAGCTTGCACTAGAGCCTATGGAATGCTGATTTTTGTTAGAGCATGTTATTAAGCTCTTTAAGAGCCCCTCACCCCCACCCCAGAAAGGCAGTGTGGGCAG